TGCATCTATCACAATTGCAGTGATTAAGCTAATTGATCGAATAATATTAGTTTGATAAATGTCGTATTTAGTTTTTTCAAATAAACAAAATAACCAAACATTAATAACACTAAATAAAGGTCGGATTTAATTTAATGTGGGACAACATTTTGTTCGAATCGATATGCGCAACACCGGCCAGCACAGTGCACCGTTCTGTTAGAGGATTCGCACATTAATAACTGCTAGATTGCACGTTATATTTTGCTTATAAAAATAATATGCTTTTTAATAAAAAAATAATATAAACTATTAAACCAACACTATCACAACACTAAATACATTTTTATAGTACTAAGTAATATTTATTTATATTTTCCCACTTTCGATATCATTTTAGTTGGTTAAATCAAATCGACTGATAATCCGACCAATTAATAACCATTTAATTTTGAAAACATGTAACTGTTTTTATAATATGTGTGTAAATTCACAAAATTGTGCATACAATGTATTTTTAATGTAAAATATATTAAAATTTTGATAAATTATAATATCATTTCACTATTAAAATACCATCTAATAAAAGTATGAAATTGCACCAAAACCCCTACAAAAAATCTAATTTTCATCCCAAAAGCCCCAACACCCAATAAAAAAAAAAAGAAAAATGTGTCATCACGCCCACACACACACGCTCGGTTACAGTCACCCGACGACCGCTGCCCGCCTGCCGTACCGTATCTGTCACCGGAAAGCAGGTCCCAACCGCCGCCACTTGATGACATATTGGCCATGCCGGACTGTTGCCGTCGATCTGAGAGGCTGTGAACGTCGGTCCCGGCGTGGTGCTCGACATCGGAGGCGGATGCGAATGACGTCGGGAATCGTTGCCGTGAGATCTAGGCAGCGATCGGAGATGACGGTCGGAGGCGACGGTCGGAGATGACGGTCAGAGGCGGCGGTCGGAGATGACGGTCGGAGGCGGCAGTCGGAGATGACGGTCGGAGGCGGAGGGCGGTGGCTGTGTGCTGTGGTGCCGCTATCTCTCTGTGTGTGTGCGTGTGTGAAAAA